CAAGCGTAYWGCCGATGCGCACAGTTATGTTCSCGATCAGAGTTTACCGACAATAATCCGGATATTATGAAACGTGTTGTGGCCGGCGATGCATCCGAGACGGCTATTTTGAAATTTATGGAATCAGTCGGTAGGGAACCGGTTATGGATTACCGACATCAGTGGCCAAAAGTAGCCGAACGTCCGTTTTCGTCGACTACGAAATACCAGTTTTCCATWCACCGTAACCCACGGCCCGATCCGGGCGTTAGCAATCATTTTGTATTGTGTATGAAAGGTGCACCCGAACGTATCATTAAACTATGTTCGACCATTCTACTGGCCAGTGGCCAGTCGGTACCCATAACGTCGGGCGATTATGTCGACCGATTTGAACAGGCCTATCGTGAATTGGGATCAATGGGCGAACGTGTACTGGCTTTTTGCGACCACGAGTTTACCCAGTTTCTRCCCGACCATCAGTTTGATTTGGACAACAATCCCGATCAGATCCAATTGGATGGKTTCCGGTTTCTGGGACTGGTAGCCCTAATCGATCCACCCAGGTATGTTAWTAATACTGTATATTGTTATGATATTTATACAGCTAATACAGTATGTATTATTAAATAAACTATACTAATGATGATGAATGTGATATTAATATTAAATTTAAWTTAATTTATTATTATATTATATATATAATATMTAATGTATAAAGTAATTTGAAATWTATTATCCAATAGTAAATAAAASWAAATAATTATTTTATTTTAAAAAATTAATAATTAAAATAAATGTAAATTAATCAATAGATAATTATAAGATTTTAGATTATATGTTTATATTTTTATGTTTAATTAAATGATTACAGTTTTTATTACTATATATATATATATTTGTTAGAAATATATTAATATACTGTATAATACTGTACTGTAATATATATATATATATATATATATATATATATATATATATAGTATATACTGTATAATATTTTAATTATATAAATAAATATTTAATATATTTAATAACTTAAATATTATTATCAATTAGTTATCAAATATTACATTAAAAAAAACATAAATAGTATAATATAAAAATATTAAATTAAYTTTTTTTATTTAACTTTATTAACTGTACCCGTTGTTAGACCTACCGTTCCCGATGCAGTTGCCAAATGTCGTACGGCTGGCATCAAAGTTATTATGGTTACCGGCGATCATCCCATCACYGCACAGGCCATTGCCAAAGCCGTCGGTATATTCACTGAATCTCATCGACGATCGACCAAAATTAGCGAACCGACCATCGATCGGGTCGGCCGAGGAAATACAGCATCGATTGTAGTACCGGGCGATGAACTTAGTCAGCTAACCGATCGACAGTTACAACAATTATTGAACGACTATCGGGAGATAGTGTTTGCCCGGACATCACCCCAACAAAAGTTACGGATTGTCGAAAATTGTCAATCATTGGGACAAATAGTTGCCGTCACTGGCGATGGTGTCAACGATTCGCCGGCACTGAAAAAAGCTAATATCGGTGTGGCTATGGGTATAACAGGTAAGGGAGGGGGTTGCAGTTAATTATTAATATTTAAAAAAAAAATTATATTTATATCAAAAGTTATTATTATATTTTAAATAGATATTGTGTGTATTTTTTAAAATTATATACATGCAAATATTGTCGTTTAAAAATCAATAAAAAAATGTATTAATAAATTTTATATTAAATATTTATATTAATAGTTCTAATAATAATATTTTTAATTAGAAAATTGTGTTTGATATATATATATATATACTTAACTAATATTATTTTTTATAAATATATATATATATATAGTTTATTTATTATAGCAATTAAACATTAAAAAATTAAAACTTTTATATAATTATTATTATTATTTTTTGCTAATGATAGAAAACTGTAAATTTATAAATAAATTATAATATATTTAAGCAATTATTATTTATTATTTTTGAACATAAGTTTTCTTATTTTATTAATTGTTAATTAATTAACAATTTTTTTTGTAAATAGGTATTTTTAAAAACTTTTTTTATAATTATTATTATTATAAATTTTTATATGAAAATTTTTCATCTTAAGATTGAAAACTGTATATTAGTAAATAGTTAAAAAAAAAAATTATTGATATATTTAGGTTAATAAATACTTAATAAATATTAGTAGTAGATTTGTTCAACATTATGTTTTTACTTTAAAGTTTTATTTATTTTTTAGTAAATATGATAGCTATAAAATATACAGTATTTTTTATAAATTCAAATAAAAAATTAATAATTATTTAATTTTAAAGTAATTTATTAGTAAATTATATATATATTTTTAATAAATAAAATATAATCATAACATAACTAGAATTACATTTTAATTAAGTTTTAATATATATATACATTAATTTTTTATTATTATTATAACAATTATGATATAATTGATTTTTTTTTAATTAAATTTTTATTATTTTTATAAACAGTTTTAGCATATAATGTTTCGCCTAAAATTAAACTAACATAAAATATATAATTAAATTATGATAATTATTATTATTAACTAAATTAAAAATAATTTTTTTTTAAAAAAAATATWAAGGATCGGATGTATCGAAACAAGCGGCAGATATGATACTATTGGACGACAATTTTGCGACAATAGTAACGGCCGTAGAGGAGGGTCGGCGTATATTTGATAATATGAAAAAAACCATCGGCTATATACTGGCCGGTTCGGTGACTACACTCTACCCGTTCATGATATTCGTTATATTCGGGTTTCCCATAGCTATCGGTACCATAACTGTACTGTTGATAGCCTTGGGCACCGATATGATGCCGGCCATATCGTTGGCCTACGAAAAAGCYGAATCCGATATTATGAAACTGTCGCCCCGTAACCCGCGTACCGATGTACTGGTCAAACGTAGTCTACTGTTGCGRTCGTACTTTCAAATCGGTGTCATTATGTCTTCGGCCGGATTTTTTGGGGTATTTTACAGCACTTYTACATTACGGTTGGAAACCATGGGATTTGTTTGAATTGMGRGCYSAATGGGATAGCGATATACTGATGAACGATTCGTTTGGCTATCCATGGGTTAGTAGACTCTCTCTCTTTATCTGTCTCTCTCTATCTGTCTCTCTCTATCTGTCTCTCTCTCTCTATCTGTCTCTCTCTATCTGTCTCTCTCTATCTGTCTCTCTCTATCTGTCTCTCTCTATCTGTCTCTCTCTATCTGTCTCTCTCTATCTGTCTCTCTCTATCTGTCTCTCTCTATCTGTCTCTCTCTATCTGTCTCTCTCTATCTGTCTCTCTCTATCTGTCTCTCTCTATCTGTCTCTCTCTATCTGTCTCTCTCTATCTGTCTCTCTCTATCTGTCTCTCTCTATCTGTCTCTCTATCTGTCTCTCTATATTATATATAATTTTTTGAGACACCCCACTTACTAACACCTACCTGTGCTCCCATATACTCCCTCTCCCTAATTATTAGACTCAAGAGGAACGGTCAAAAATTTTAATTGTAGCCCAAAGTTCATACTTTATATGTGTAGTTGTCTGCCAATGGATGGATGTTATTGTATCGAAAACTAGAAGGGTTTCCATATTTACGCAACTAATGGGGTAATCATTAAAATAATAACAAAACAAAAAAACTGATTTTTTTTAAAAATACTTAAAAAAAATTTATTTTGCTTTTATTTTTGTGGCTACACTTCTACACACACACAGCAATTGGGTACTAAATTTTAGCATAATTTTTGAAACTTGCCTGGCTTGTCTATTTATTTATACACCCGGTTTCAATACTGTATTACAATTAGCACCAGTTATTGGTATAGTAAATATATTTTTCACACATATACATACATACATACATACACATACATATATACACACACACACATACACACACACACACACATACACACACACATACACACACACACATACATACACACACACATACACAAACACAAACACATACACAAACACATACACACACACATACACACACACACATACACACATACATTCACACACATACATACACACACACACATACACAAACACAAACACATACACACATACACACATACACACATACACACATACACACATACACACATACACACATACACACATACACACATACACACACACATACACACACACACATACACACATACATTCACACACATACATACACACACACACATACACAAACACAAACACATACACACATACACACATACACACAYACACACATACACACATACACACACACACACACACACACACATACACACACACATACACACACACACACATACACACATACATTCACACACACACATACACACACACACACATACACACAAAAACACAATACACACACACACACACACATACACACACACACTCACACTCACACACACACACACAATAACTATACAAAATTCAATATTTATTTAATTAATATTATTTTTTTATTTTATATGCTATTTTCGGTTTGGATATCTCTATCTATATGTCTATATGTGGGTGTTTCAGGTTGGGTATGGTTATGTGGTGTACCATTTTTCTTTTATATACTAATCTATGAGGAGTTACGTAAACTAGTTATCCGAAAATATCCCGACTCCTGGTTGGGACAGGAATTGCTTATTTGATTAGTTTTTTTTWTTTTGTTTGGTTAAAAAAAAAAATAACTTAATTTTTTTTTATTTATTTTAAATGATATACTATTGATTAATAAGTATTATATTAGAAACACTGTAATAAAATAATTAAATTAATTTTTTTTATAGATATTTAAATTTTTAAAACATTTGTTTTTTTTATTGAATATCAATGCATAAACAGTATAATCAGTATATGCTTTCTATTAAAATCAATTTCGTATTAATTATTAAAATAAATTTTAATAATTTTAAAATTAAAAAATAGATAATATTTGTTTGAATTACAAAAAAAAAATTCTACGAATTATTTGATTGAAAATTTACGGGAAAAAAATCATAAATTAATTTTTAAAAATAAAACTAAAATCTAAAACTAAAATAATCTCAAATTCAAACCATTCGTTTGATTTTTTCCATATCTTCGTCATAATTGGTTTGCATTTGTTTCAATTGTTCAGTTAATTGATTGATACGTTGGGTAACATATCTTATACATYGMATGTTTCCGGAAATTTTCATYATCTCATTATTAGTATCATCGATCCAATCGGTTGGACCGGAAGTGCCGGCAGCGACAGCAGCCGCAGACGCAGCGGAGGCGCTACTGTTGTTGTTGATATCGGGCACCGTATGATTGCCGCCGCAATACTGGCAAAATATCATCGGTTTTCGGTCACAGCTAGACTCGTGGGCAAGTATGTCGGCTAACGGCCCCGTTTCCAGGCAACGATTGGCGGTACCGTAATATTTGCACCTTATATTCAATTGGGCCAATTCGGCCAATAGGCGAGCATTTGGCGGACGGGTAGTCGGCTTATCGGTAGCGCAGGCCGGGCACGAATCGCTGGCACAGTTAGTGCATAATCTTATAGCACAACAAACCATTAGTACCGGTTCCTGTAGGACATTGTTGCATAGATAGCAAATAATATGACAATACCGCTGTCCACTTAAAATACGTGTAATACCGATGCCCTCCATAAGTGAATCTTTTTTATTAAATTATAATTATTTTGATATATTAATAACACAATAGAAATGTATAAATTAATTAATTTTTAAATATATATATATAGATATTAATAATAATAAATCAATTAATTGATTATAGTTTATAATTTGTGAACAATGTATGACTGAGACTGAAAATAAATTATTTTACAAAAAAAAAATACTTGTATTTATACTATTTTTTTTATTGAAATTAATCATAATATGATAGCTTATCTAATCAAATATAATATATATATATATATATATATTTTAGGAATTTTTAATTACTAATATCAAGTTTAGTAGTATTTTATTTATTGATTTTTTTTTAAATAAAAAATCAATTTACCACTAGTAATTATTAATAAATTTTTTTTTGTTTATTAAGTATCATAGTTATAATTAATAGTATAAATTATTTATTACTACTATTTTATTATTAATATATTAAATGAGATTCAATAAACTTTTAAAAATTTGATTTTAAATTTTAGTTTAATCTAAACATTTTGTTTAAATAAAAATATGGATATTAATAAATTGGAAAATTTTTGTAGTCTTAGTATTTTGAAATCTAAATATATATATAATATATATATATATATTAAATATTTTTTATAAAAAAAAACAAATTACTAGTAATTATGATTTTTTTTTTGTAATAATAATAATAATACTGTTTTAATAATTTAGTACTTATTTAGTGATTAAAAATAAAACTTATTAACTAAGAATTAATATTATTAAATATAAATAGAAAAAATAATATTAAATATATATATATATATATATATATATATATATTATAGAAAAAAACTTTATATACCATTTTGTTCGCTAAAAGCATTCAATAGATTGATTATAGCCATCGGTGCGGCCAACAGTTGATACTCCCATAGCGGTTGTCTATCTAATGGACAGGTATTTCGATATTGGTTAGTAGTATCGTTAGTAGCTACCGGTGCTCTATTACTACTACTAATACGATTTGATAGCCATCGACTAATACAATCCAAACAAAACAATTGTCTACAACATGGTGTAACCATAGGCTTATTGTAGGCAATTCCCAGACATATAGGACAGGTTAGGTCAGCTACCAGTGCCCGATAGTTGTGATCGCTAGTGATAAGCGGTAACAACAGTTGATAGCCGGACAACAAACTACTATCCATTTTATTTTTAGTGATAGATTTTGTTAAACAATTGAAAAGCAATTTTTTTAATTAAGTAATTGTTTGTTTGGTTCAACAAAAAACTATATATTTATACAGAATATATATATATATATAATATTATAAACAAAAATTAATAATTATTTTATTTAATAATAATTATTAGTTGCAAATATAATATAGAAAATAATAATCATTTTTTTGAATTTATAGGTATAATCAAGTGTTTAAATAGTATAGCAATTTGCAATAATAATAATAATAATATATCATATGATATTATTTGTGATAAAATTTTTTTTAATCACTAGAAATATGTTATTGTTATTATAAATTATTATAAAAGTTATTATCAAAATACCAGTTATTAATAGTTTTTAAATATTTATAAAAACAAATTAGTATTTATAATAATAATAATAATAAATATTTTAATCTATTATCTATTTAATTATAATATTTCTAAAATAATTTATTATTATTTTTATATCTAAATTAGAATTATTTATTTACTTTAAATATTAAATATTTATTTAAAGTACATAAATATACAGTATTTATATATATATTTAATTGTATATAAATTAATTTTAATCTCTAATGATTTATAAAACAAAATTATTTATTAAACAAATAAATATTTTTATCAGTTTATTATTATTATTCTAATTTAAATATTACAAAAAAATATGTTTAATTTTTTTTAGAAAATAAATTATATATATATTAATATTTTATATTAATTATATACCATCATATATTTTTATACAGTATTTTATAAATTTTATTCAAATGCTATGAATTTAATGATATGAGATATATGTTTAACTTTTATATAAATTTTTTTTTTAAAATGTTTTTATTTTCATAATTAATTAAAATAATAATGGTTTTAAATAAATTGTTATAAATGCAAACATTACTAAAATATTTATTACTATTTTATTTAGCAAACTGTAAACTTTTTAATTTTCTAAAATATATTTAAATAAAAAAATAACAATAATTAGTATATATTAAGATCACTCAATATTTTTTTCCAAAATTTTGATATTTTTCAATTAATTATTAACATATTTAAAACATATAATTATTGTTATTATTATTAATTGAAAATATTTTCAATTATTAACAGTTTTTTTTTAGAAAAAAATAATAAAAATAAAATAAAAACTTTTTATTATTATAATTTAATTAATATTAATATTATTTAATTATTATTAACTGTTTTTAATATTCAATCCAAAATAGACTGTTAGCCATAAAATCGATGTTCGGGTCTATCGGGACAATGGTTAGCAGTTTTAATCATTGCTGGCAATTATACCGATGAGTACGGCCCGGCCATCGACATACTGGATCAATGGTCCATCTGAATCACCCCACGGGGTGATCGCGGGGGTGGGTGTGGGGGAGGGGGTTGTTAGAAATTATCTTAATTAATTAACTAAAAAAAAAATAATTACTATGTATGCAACCGATCCCGTCAATTGGTGGGGGGGGGAGGGGAGGGGAGGGGTGGACAACGTCTGGTCAAACAATCAGTTGACCAGATTTTATTGGTACTGTTAAACATAGGGATCTCACAATAGCCAAGAGTCCAATATCGTGATTATTATTATTATTATTATTTTTAATTAAATATATAATTTATTTATTTTTGAATATATATTTAATTGTATATAAATTAACTTTAATCTCTAATGATTTATTTTTAAAAAAAAAAATTATTATCAGTCTATTATTATTATTTTTTTTAATTTAAGTATTAGAAATGATATATGTTTAAATTTTTTTTAGAAAATAAATTATATATATATATATATATATTAATATTATTTATTATTTACTGTATATACCATTATATATTTTGATGCAGTATTTTATAAAATATAAATTTTTGTTCAAATGCTATATAATTTAAGATAACTATACTGTGAATATGATTATTTATTTTAAATGTTTTAATTTTTATAATTATGTAAAATATTACAGTTTTTCTAAAAAATAAAACTATAAATCGTTATAAATGCATAAAATAATAAAATATTTTTTGTTTATTTAGCAAACTGTAAACGTTTTAATTTTATAAAATATATTTAAATAAATAATTGGCAATAATTAGTATTTATTAGTATATTAAGACAATATATTTTGTAAAAATATTTATTTTAATTATTTTTTAATTAATTATTAGCATATTATTTCTATTGAAAAATATTATCAAATATTAAGATATTTTTTTTATTTAATAAAAAAAAATAAAATAAAAACTATTATACATTGATTATTATTACTATCTAATAATATTATTTATATAATTATTTATATTAAATGCTAATTAATTATTATTATTATTAAAATTATTTAGAAAAAAATAATATTTAAATCAGTTATTAAAAATAATAGCAATAATAAAACAATATATTTTTTTTAGTATTTATTAATATTATATTGTATAGAAATTACTGATTATAATTATCTATTATAAAACTATATAATTATTTTTTATTCAAGTTTTTAAATATCTTAAATAATACTAAAATAAGTAAATAATTTTAATTTTTACATTTAAAAAAATATGTTATCATTTATTTCAAAAAAAAAAATTAATTAATTATTAAAACATAATTTTAATTATTATTTTTAAAAGAGTTAATTTTCTTTATAACAATTTATTTTTTTTTTAATTAATTATAGTAAACAAACAAATCAAAAAAGTTTTAATAATATATTGTTAATAAATATTTTTTTTTCAATACAATAGTTTTATTATTTAATTTTATTATAGATATTATTATTATTTAAAAATCGATTTAATTGCTAAAAAAAATTATTGATTATAGTAATTAATTAAACCAAAAAAAAAAATCCTAAATTATTTTTTAAAAATAATAATAACTAAAAAATATTTTTTTTAGACTATACGCTTAATTTTATCCAAATCTTGATCGACAGTTGCTTTGAATTGGTTGAGCTGTTCCTGCAAATAGTCGATACGTTTGGTCAGGTATGCGATGCACTGGTAGTCGCCGCCATTTTTATCGCCACCAGTGTTGCTGCTATGGTCGACCCCAAGTATATGATTGCCGGAACACTTGCGGCAAAAAACTAATGGCCTATTTGTACACATGTCCTCATGTTTGCGGACATCACTGACCAGACCAGTGTATAGGCAACGATTTGCCGCGTTGCCATAGTTACGGCACTTTATTTGTAATTTAGCCAAATTAGCTATAACCATCGGTGGTACGCCCATGGGATCAACTGCCGTATYCTGGTCACATGMCGGGCACGTGCGTGTCAAACACGTGGTGCCACACAAATTTAGGCCACAACACGKGCGATAATGTGGCTTTTCTARCACGTTTTCACACAAAAAACATATCAATGTTTTTATGAGCCGTTCCGAGATTTTTTCCCGAACAATACGATTGGGACTGATTCCCGWCATTATTGACACTTAAATATTTTTATTTAAAAAAAATTATAAAAATAAATTCAAAATTAGAATATAATTATGTGTGTGTGTGTGCACTATTATAGACTAATAAATATTACTACTATTTATACTTATTTTTTAAATCAAAATATTCTATAATTATTAATCATAGCTTAATGCTCCGCTTATCTGGTTTTCATTGAATTTATTTTATTTTTGTATATAAGTCTAATAATAATACTATATTTATTTTAAACATGTTTAATATTTTTTWTATATATATATTAATATTTAGTACATTATACTTAATAACTAATGTTTTAAAAAATACTTTTTTTAGCTATGACTATAATATATATATATTTCAATATAATTATATATATATTTTTTTGTAATTAAATTTTTAACTTATATAAAGTAATATTATTGTTATTTTTAATAACATAAAACTAGTATATTTATCATTAAAAATTTATTAGYAATAAATTAATAGCAATATTATTTTTTTTAATTCAATCATATAATATATATATATATATATATATATAAATTGTTAAAAATAATAATATTAATAACATTTTAATAATATAATACTTATTTAATAATTAAAAATAAAACTTATTAACTATGAATTAATATATATTAAWTATAAATATATATATATAAAAATAATATTTAATATATATATATATATATATATTATTCTTTAAAAAAAACTTGTTATACCATTTTGTTCGCTAAAAGCATTCAATAGATTGATTATAGCCATCGGTGCGGCCAACAGTTGATACTCCTTTAGTGGTTSTCTATCTAATGGACAGGTATTTCGATATCGATTAGTAGTATCATTAGTAGCTACCGGTGCGCTACTACTACTACTACTACTTGATGATAGCCATCGACTAATACAATCCAAACAAAACAATTGTCTACAACATGGTGTAACCATTGGTTTATTGTAGGCAATTSCCAGACATATAGGACAGGTTAGGTCAGCTACCAGTGCCCGATAGTTGGGTTCCCAAGTGATAAGCGGTAACAACAGTTGATAGCCGGACAACAAACTACTATCCATTTTATTTAGTGATAGATTTTTTGTTTGTTGTTTTTTTTTTATAAAATAGTTATAAAAAAGTTATTATTTTTTAATAATTGTTTTTTTTGTGATTCACAAATAAAACAATATTTATAAATAAGTTATTATTATAAACATAAATTGATTATTATTTTATTTTACTAATAAATTAGTTGTATATATAATATAGAAATTAGAAAATAATAATAATATTTTTATATCATTTTATTTTTAATTTATAGGTTAGATATCATATGATATTATTTGTGATAAATTATTAAAACTTATTATCAAAATACCTGTTAGTTTTTCTAATATTTATTAAAAGCAGATTAGTATTTAGTAATAATAATAATAATAATAAATATTTTAATCTATTTATTATCTATTTATTTATAATATTTCTAAAATTATTTATTATTTTTATTATCTATATATAAAATTTATTTACTTTAAATATATATTTAATTGTATATAAATTAA